GGTTATTAATGCGATTTCAATTTTATCTCATTTTTGTCACAAGAGCAAATAAATACCTTTTGTCAGAAGTATCCCATAAACTTCCACTCGCAAAGCTTTAAAGCCACTGTATGTTGTGGGTTGAAAGCGGATAAACTTTGCACTTGCAAATTCCTGTAGACTGTTTTTTACGATGCCATTTTGATCGAAGTTTCCGGGAAAGACCTGTAGTTTGTGGTATAAACTTTCAAATCATTGTAACAAAATGTTCTTAATACAACTGCTTCACTGACCACTCTTACGTATCAGCTATTTACATGGCTATTGAAAGACCTAGTTTCTGTTGTTACAAAACTAACACAAAACCAGTCTATGACTCTATAGATCATTTCTGGTAAAAAAACCCTAAGGGAGAGGTACATAAAGTTTGCGAGAGAGAACCACTGGTTAGACAAACACCGAAAAATAAGACTTTTCGCATTTTCGCTCAATGCTTTTATTTCCTGTGGTATCGATTACATACCCTATTAAACAGCAAGACTTAGTTTTGATCAAGTAGACACTTCTTTTGTCTCCCTCCTCTTGACCCAATAAGTGTTTTAGGACCTATACACTTTTGGCTTTTTTGAAATGTGCATGTATTTACACATGACTTTTGTTTAAACGTACCCTGTCAACATTGTTTTCTTGGTAGGTGACTATAGTGGTACTATCCAAAGATAACTTAATCTTGTAGTTTGTTGTCCACTCATTGATACCATTAGCTCCTTGAGTAGCTACAGCGCAGATAACATACTCATACAGAAGGTCAATTTGGAGGTAGTCAGCGGAATCAGTAGTAGTCTTAGGCGCCCAACCACGGCTATTTGCATTCAGTCGACCATTAGAGGATGTATACCTGTGATCATAATGCGATGAGGCAGAGAAGCTGTTGCCTGGAATTTTGCCACCACTGGCCAAACCAATGGCCCCCATTTCACAAGCTGCAAGGTAAGGTCACTTATCCGAATAACAAACGTACATCATCAAAACAAAACAGACAGTTGATTTAAAAAAACTTGTTTAAAGATTATAAAAAAGTATTTGTGACTATCCTTCAGTATACTAATAACACTAATACCGCAATTATAGCAAACACGCAAAAAATTCATTTAAGTTTCATACTTACTGGGCTTTTTTTTCACCCCAAACACCTCTATCCTCATACACACTCCACCCTGGTGTGTTCGTGGCAGGAATCCCAGATATCTTGTTAACACTCCATAAACGACATGCTTCACTTCTGACTTCCTGTCAGCATTTCCTCTCAGAAACTCGAAACAAACAAATGGTCACAACTCACCATCATGATGATCCTGATGTGAAGTTCAGTCGACCATTCTTGGCTGGTGTGCTAACACTTTGTTCCGAAGAAGCGTTTATATTACTATCTGGAATTATTCCACTTCCCATTCCAAGGTCAAAATCAACACAAGCCCCTACAGAAACAAAATTCACATATGCACTATAACACGGTGGTGATTATAATTGTAACAGTGTTAATGGGTTGGATGTAAAAAGGACATGGACGCCTTGAATCTCTCCATTGGGTACCTCTCATTAAAGGTCCATGTCAGATAGTTAACAACTATTCACCGAAGTGGCAGAGGCTAATAGTGGATATTTACCAAACCCAAAAGTGGTGAGGTAACTATCATTCGCTAGCCACCAACACTTCGGTAAATAGTTGTTTAAGTATATACTAAAACAGTGATATAATATAACACAAAAAGATGATCGTAACTCACTTTTTCTGCAACGATAACAACATTTTCAGGGGCGACTTGCTCCGAAGTGAATAGCAAAGGATATTCGTAGCTTGATTAGCAAATTGGGGCGCGCCTTCAACGCTTTCCTCTGCTTTAGTACAAACTAATACCAATTAAGGCTGCTTTACTTTCAACCTTATTTATCAATTCTGTTACAAAATAGTAAGAAATCTCAACCCTTAAATTAATTAAATCTGCAGCCTGGGGTGTCATTTCTGAAGGTGTCGATTTTAGAGAAATCAAATAAAAAATTTTAGTTTTTAGAGAAACTGTTGTGGTGCAGCGGAGGACGAGTGACGCATGTTGTTGATAAAGGTAGCTATAAACCACCCATTAATTTTTGCGCCATATCATTGGTGCAAAATCACTGGACAGTTATAACTTTGATATTTATTCGCATATTATTACCATCAAAAAGCCAGCGGAAAAAAGCCAGTACAAGAGCTTAATTTTTTCATCTTAATTTCTCAACATGGAAGAAAAACGAACAGTGAGGGTGACATTAAACTGATTTCAATTGCTGCCCAATGCACGATACATGAATTAATGTAAGGATTATAAAATGATAAATCTCCATCTGGCTTGCTGATATGTCGGCTAATAATGTCCGTGGCTGAGAAAATGTTCCCAAAATTTCACATTTGCCCTCCACTCATCGCTTCTCCCCCTAATGTTCATTTTTTAGACAATATCTCAGCAGCAGACAAAATCAGTCGATATACCAGCCGCCAAGGGGGGTTTATTAAATTAGCTTTAGTAATTTTAGAAAACTTGGTTTTCATCCCTTCTTTGGAGGAAAAAGAAGTTGATTTTTTCTGTATATGTACAATTTCTGGGGTGAAATGCAGAAATGTATAAACTCATCCAAACGGCGATACTGAGCGACCTGATTTATATTGGAATATGCATGATCCGTAACAATTGGCCGTTGTTATGCATAAAGTTTCTTGATGAACGAAACAATGGCAAAAATAATAGACTATATTTCAAACTAGGTCTGTCCTACAATAGTGCCTGCGGAATAATGAATACTTTTCCATTAAACTGTACACCTAAAGTCATTGAGTTTATAGTATAGAATAATTTCCAAGAGTGTTTTAACCTCGAATTGTTACAAATGTTTCCACACGCAAACCCGGAGCAACCCTCTAATCTTTTTTATATTGATGATATCTGCATTGGCGATTAAGTTGCGAAGGCACGAGATTGTCTTAGGCTTCAGCGCTCAAAAGTGAAGATATATCCAACCAATTCTGCTAAATGAAGTAATGAAAGTCAAAATAAACCTATTGAGTATAAATTAGCAATAGGATACCTACCCGAGGCTAGAGGAAGAAATACGGCGAGAAAAGCTACACGGAAACAAAGCTCGACATTGAACTGTGCCATGTTTCGATTGAGTGAATCACGGTATGTGGTCACGATTGTTTTGCTTGTTTTGCTTGACTGGCCTTTTGTAACAGAAAGTTCATTGGACAAAAGATGCCTGTTTCCTCGCCACTCAAGCTCTTATTTTCATAGACGATGTCAACTACAATAGACATTATTCACATATTGTCAGCCGACGCTTGAACGGATTTACTCACTAAATAACCTGCTAAATAAAATTTAGAGAACTGGCAGCTAGAGTGCTTTCCAAGAGTGTTTTAACCTGAAATTGAAGCAAATGTTGCCACCCGATAGCTTCAATGAAAATGGCTTCAGATTCTCTGTCTGTTTAATCAATAATGAAAAGTTTAAATTGACTTTCGTAAATTTTTCTTTCCTAAATGAGCTAGTTACATATGCATAAAGATTTTTAGATTTCCCGTTTGCTCTAAGATGATCTTTTTACAACAAGTATAAAACCTGGGGTAACTAATCTTTTTGGAATTGATTCTGTCGACATTAGCGATTAAGTTGCGATGGTACGCAGAAGTCTTCGCGAAACTAAAAGATATATCCAATCAATTCCCATGATAGTCGTAATAAAAGTCAAAATACACATTACGAGTAGATTTCAAATGATATAGTGCTCACCTGAAGCCAGAGGAAGAAATATAGCGAGAAAAGCTACGCGGAAAAAAAGCTTGAGAATAAACTGCGCCATGTTTTAAGTGAGTTTGTCACGGTAAACGATCACGATTGTTTTGCGTAATTGACCGGCCATTTGAATAGAGAGCTCATTGCACAAAAGATTTCTTTGTTTTCTCACTATCCAAGTGAGGGGGCAAGGGTCCGCTTCACTCAAACACGTTTACTCTGCATTCAATTTAACTACTCTTTAAGACGCTCGTGAAGAAGATATGATAGCTGGATATTGGATATTGGCCGAGTTCTTTTTCTTTTTCGCATTTTCATGGACCGAGACGAACTTGAGGTCTATGAAAATGGTAAGAAAAAAAATGAGACTAATACGAGGCTAACATCCAACCACCATGACTGAACAAGCTTAGTCAATAACGGTTTTATTACAAGGCAAAGAAATTTCGCTTTATCAAGAATCAAGTATAATTGGTTTATTTCAAGAGCCGGGAAAGAAAGGAACTGTGTTTGTAGCACAGCAAACCTCGAGAGTCCTTTATGTTTTCTTTGTTTGACTTTTTTCTGCCACTATTTGCGACCTCATCCCTGACATTGTCCAAGAATTACGAACTTTGTAAGTTTGCGCGAGATCAAAGCGGGAAATCCCGATCGGACAAGAGGGACTGATCTTTCCCGCTCGGGTAACCAATCAGAACACTTCGCTTAAAAATATCATTTCCTTTTTTCGAGGTCGTTTTATTGACAAAACTCATCTCTAAGCTGTTCATTCTATTCACCAAGAATGTCACACTTACCAGGAATTTCCTATGCGGACGTATCGGAAAACTGACTTCCGTTCGAGAGACTATCTACAAATAACTATGGGGAGTTGACATATTCCGCAGCTAAGAACCAGGGCCCCTTCTCTGCCACTTTATTTCCATTTGGTTTAACGTCAGATGGTTTCACTAATGAAGGTTTTCTTTAACGAAATTTTCAAGAATTAACAGTCGGACGCAGTCAAAATAAAAAAGATACTCTTAAACTTTGTAGAAGATTATTTAATCAGTAACAGAGCCGATCACTCCAAAATTCATAAAACACATAGAAAATATTAATAATGAGATGGAGAACCATAATAAGATATAGCCATGATTTTCAACAATTTCCAATTTCAGTCAATAAATCAATCAAACTATTATATGAATATGAATCTAAAACTAACGTACTAACTATATACGTGAACTCTATCCTTTACATTAGTAAAAATATGTTTCAATGTGCTTTGCACGTTTGAATTCCAAATTAATCGTTCAAAGAATGTATCAGCTACCATTTAATTACCAAAAATCTACCTCTTTGCACAATTCTATCTTACTTCTGATAAAAATACAATCTTATAGAAATTCTGATGTATTAATTGAAAACAGTGTGAATTAAATTCAGATAAAAAAAGAGAAAATGCAAAAGGCACCATAACCCTCCAAAACAAACTATAAAACTACAAACCACTTTTAATCTAACACTGTTAAAAGAAAACGATAACTATGAAACTTAATAGACTTTTAAGAGACATCATGAAATATGTAAGTTATCAAAAACTTTCCTTTACAACTAACTCAAAAAAAAAACCCACAAAACTCTACAAATGTAATAACTTCTTGTAGATACACCTAGTACCTCTTTCATTGCATAATTAGAAAAGAAGGATAACACAATTCCTGATATTGCCATAATCCTAGGCCTCACAGGGACACATGCTTGTTTGTCAAGTTACCATAGCAAAATCTGATGTAAATTTATCAACAATCAAGCGGTGAACATCTTCCAGCTGACAACATCTTCACTTGCACGGACGCATTTTACCTACTTCCTATGACAAAAAACTCCTTTTTTAACTAAAATATGTAATAAAAACTTTTTTAGCAAAACTTTTTTAGCAAAACTTTTTTAGCAAAACTTTTTTAGCAAAACTATTAGGGGGAAAGGCCACCCGCTTAGAGGTAACTATGATTTGTTACAAAAATTTGAATATGAGGGGAAAAAGCTGCTTCGTAAAAAAAAAAGATGTGCGTCACTCCTTTCTGTCAAATCTGTTTTTTACTTTGCAATGCTTTTTAGCATTCTGCAAAGTTTGAGTACGTACTGAAAGAGTCTAAGTAAGCTAGAACTGTTTTGTAACAAAACATGTACAGCTCCTGAAAGATAAAAACAAAAAAAAACACACCTTAGGCTCACGAAGGATATGCTATTGATCTGTGAGCGCCCAGCATTGTGCAAAGTAAGCTTAAGACGTGAAAAAGCAGCAAAAACTATTAAACATGATGAAAAACGCGACAGAAAAGAGATCAGACGACATACTAAACTTGCAGACGTATCTTTGAAGTGAATATGTTGTTTCTTACAAATCCAAAAGGGATGACTTCTCCTGTGATTCCTTTGATAAATTTCAGCATAATGGGAGGCTCAAGCGTAGTTTATTGGGCGGGAGGGGGGGGGGGGATGAACGTAACCCGCCCCTCCACCCATCCCCAGGCAGATATCCTGGAATTCTGTTACATCCCCAACTCACCCCGGGGTAGAACTCCTCTGTTACGCCCTTGACAATTTACACCTGAACAAAGCTATAACAATGGATCATGACACTTTTAACTTACCAGAGTGTTGACTGCACCTGGTCTCTTTGCTCGAACTAGTTTTACAGTCTGTAAAACATCAACTGTTTGTTCAGTCTTGACTCGTTCGATCACTGACATTATGGTGGCTACGCAGCCACTACGACCAGTACCATCACTGTAGAAAGATAAACGGAGACCTAATCAAGAAAGTTGAAAAGTGTACAGTGGTGGATTCGTATTATAGGTTCTTGCCTTTGTTCTCCTAACATCGAACTTCCAAAGTGTCAAGTATCCACTGTTTTCAGAAAGGTAAAACCATTAACACCGACCACTCCGGATACAGTCAACTAAACTGTTTCCTGTAAATACTGTATCTGTTGTAGACAGTGTGGATAGCTTTATCCATTGTAGAAAGTGAATAAACTAAGCTGTATTTACTGTAGATAATGTATATTGATTATCTAATTGTCACAATGGAGAAAACTGTATATACTTTAGAAAGTGTAAATAGTTGTATCTAATAGAGACAATTTAGATAGCTGTATGTACTGTAGACAGTGAAGGTGGCTCATCTGATATGGTCAGCGTGGATAGCTCAATCTAACGCAGATATTGTAAATGGGTGCCTGTAGATAGAGGTAGATAGCAGTATCTAATGTAGACACTCTTGATAGTTGCATCTTTTTCAGACAAGATATGTTGTTTTATGTTCTGTTTACAGTCTGAACGCGTTATGCAAAAAGTATGTACATAAAGTCATACATGATTCGAGTAGCCATACGCTATTCTAGCATAAGTGCACAATTATTAGCCAAACGCCTAGTAGGTTTAGAATCACTTCTATTACAACATTTAAATGTATGATAACATCAATAAGAGACGTGCTCTTTATACCTGCACTGGAAAACTATGACTCTATTTCCTGATTGCTGCTGAGACTGCTGTACAGTAGTCATCAGGTCAAGTATATCCTGGGGATCTGGGCATGAGTTTTCATTGGCCCACCCAGTGTATTGTATATGCTGCAAAGTTGACGTCTTCTTAGGGGGCTGAAGAACGAATTTAATTAGAAGCAAATCAAGCTATCCTTTTTAGGAACACGAGGTCAAGTTATTTTAAATTAGTTATCACGTGGGCCGCATAGTCCCACGTGATCACATAGCCAGGTCTTTTTTTTTGTTGTTGTCGTTAAGAACTCAAAATCCCCCAGGAACGTTCATTCCTTGCTTTGCTCGTCAGGAAGCCTCGCAGAACTTGTAAATACTTAGATAAAGTATGAACTTACTTTTTTATTTCATAAAACATTGCGATTTATTTTTTCATGCTTGTTGTACAATAAACTTAGTGGTGAATTGAATCGTAGGATTGTCTGTAACCTTCCCAAACACATTCCGTAATGAACAAAAATCAATTTTCCACGCAGGATTAATTTGATTACGTAGAATAAAACATTGAAATTTGAAAAACAAACAAACAAAAACAAATCAAAAAGGAATTATTTCAACCACTAGATTCCGCAATTATTAATACGTTCAGAAAATCTCGGGTTCATTCAAACGATCTCCTCTTCTTTATATTTTCCTCTCCACTCATCACCTTTCTGCCAGAGAGTATTTTGATTCAGAAGGGAAAAAATTACTCATTGGCCTCTCTCCTAATAATGAAATAGTTAAAGTCGAACTCCCGCGCATCAAGAATGCACAAACGCCTCCTGTTGGTATAGATAAAAGTTTCCTCCAAACTAACCAGAAAAAATGGGACCTTACAATTCGAGAACAAACAAACTGTACCGCTGCATTCTCGACGCTGAATCCTCTGGTAGTGATATTGTTTGAAGTTTCTTGGGACAAAAGCTGGACAGTGACTTCACCATACTTGGCAGATCCCTCGCTTGGCCAGTATTGCGGGTAAATCTAAAAAAGAAAAGCAGTGTTACAAGTATTATCCGTGAAACGAATAACTGAATATATGTGATATTAAGGTGGGCATGATAGTAGGAAGGATTTTCCGAAAAAGAGTTTCAACTATAGCGTCTCACTGACATTTGAGAGCATACTCAGTAAGTCAATCACTGTAAAATGTTACTTTCTCTCGACGATGAATGGTACCAATGGCTACTCATTCTAAAAGTGTTGAGATGATAACCGAAACACAGTGACGCGTCCTGCCAAAATTTCTTAATAATTATTTCTTTACCAATTTGTTTAACGAATAGTGGTAATCTATCAAAGTTCACCACAGATACCAATAGTAATCCATATAAGTAGCTGGCTGTCTTGAAATAAATCACGTGATTCCTAGCACAATCTAGCATAGCTCTAGGATATTGATTAGGCGTATTTTGCACACTTCGTTGCAAACATAGGGTGAAGAGTGTTGCTATATGCTTTTCAAAAACATGCCATGATTTTTACCTGCTTTCCTTCTTCCAAGTTATTCAACATCACAACTGTGCCAATATCATATTGAGAAATCATAAGCCAGAAGTCTATAATGGTGCAGTCTAACGGAGTTTGTGTCAGGATGTATGCATTACGTTGTGTGTAGTCCTGATAAATAAAAGATCAAAGAAAAATATGGACGTCAAGTTAAGCAACACGAATATACCAATACGAAAAGAATAATAACACCACAACCCAAGAGGGAAAACTTGAATAGAAATAAAGATCTTTTTATGGGTTGACTGAATTAAAAAATCTACTATACGGACACGTTGCAACAGAAAGCTTTCTAAAGAACCCGAAAATACGGAGTCTTTTCTTATCAGCACGCTAAAATTACAGAATATATTATGAAAATTTTACAAGGGCATTTTTGCACTTACATCCACATAAGAGGCATTGATGTAACTCTTTTCTTGTGAAGACGCTTGTAAATGCACCCGAGCATTGTCCACTAATACAAAATCGAATATAAGTGTTTAATGTTTAATAAAATTAAAGGCATTTGTGCAATCAAAAAATATACTTCACAAAAGTTATAAGGATTGTCTCAGATCTATCGTTTGGAAACATTATTCAATGTGTGGCGCCACCTGAAATTTGGAGTGGAAAGTTAGGGAACCAGTTGTCAAATTTTACGCATTTTAGTTATCCTAGAGATACTTCAAGCTAGTCGACGCAAGTTGTCCTAAAACACAACACAGCGACGTAACCATCACTTAACAAATAGAGAAGCCTTGACTATGCTGTGTTCTGTTGTAAAGAACGCAGGAAGCGGCTAAAACACGAAAGAAGTGTAGGGAGAAACACTCGACCATGTCTCGTGTTTCTTCCCACTTCGTGAAGTTTCACTTTTACATAACGAACAAAACAAGAGATGTCCGGGAAATGGCCGGTACAAATTGGCGGATGGCGTGACAGCTCTTGCTCAGCTCCGTGCTCTGTACTCTGATAGAGCAGGCTCTTTCAACCAATGAAAGGGTGCGTTATAGTCTCTTATAGGCTATAACCTTAGTTAATCAAAAGTAACAAAATGATAGAGTACGATTGATGATCTGTAGCTTGGACAGCGCACTAATCTAATAGTGCACGATTCATGCCTGTAACCGCACAGTAAGAAAGGATAGTTCGCGCGTAATCAATGTGTATTTTGTTCCCAAAATGCTCTGACAGTTTTGATTGTTCAGTAACAGAACTTTCTGTCGTCCAAATCTATCTTGTGACAAAAAAAAACTAACGTTGCTTGTGGTCTTTTGATTTCGTTGATCACTGGTAAGATCACATACCGAATGAGACCCCACTCGGTTTAAGACTCCGCTAGAAAACAATTCAGGAGTAAGCAAAAGTTTTGTTTAGTCTTTCGGAAACAATGCAAACAAAGACAAAGGAACACTTACGCGGAACAATGTTGGGGAACCTGTTCTTGACGACGTTTGCGGGCATAAATGCGTTCGTTGCTACTTCTTGAGAAGCGTGGGCGTCTGTTACAAGCTCCAAGCACTACAAAACATAAAATTCTCTCAGTTCGTCCTATCCAGTTTTAATTCCCTCCATCTTAAGCCATTTTTGTTCGGTCCTGGTTAATTGCTGTTTCCATAGCACTTTTGTTTCTTACCGAACTAATATATTGCTGTTTCATTCAGGCTATAGGTAATCTTTTTTTTTTCGTGCTAAACACACACACAAATTAAATTAATAGAAAAGTGAAACAAAATATTGTGATGTAAGATCAACAAATTACAGAGTAGTTCATCTGCCACTAATATGTATGTTAAAAAGAAATTTGCAGGAGTTATCCATGAACAAAAGCACGCTTTGTATTTTGATAATTACGTCTGACAATAATTTTTCGAGATTTTTTTGGTCTTTAAGAACTGTAGATGAGATATGAACATGAAGTTAACAAAGTCACATTGACACGTCTTTAAAAGAATCTCCAGAAGCAAGTCTTGTCAGCATTTACGTTTACGCACAATTAACAACATATAAAACCAAACTCAGTTTCTAGGAATGGTTAACACTTGCCATTAACTCTCGTTCATATCCAGTCTTTTTGGATGGTTTATGCACCTTGGCAAGCTTGTTCGTCGCAATTCGTAGGTCCTGAGGGATAATCTCTGTATTTCCACATACCAAGGTTTCCATCACTGCTTGGTGCAAGAAAACATACTGGTCCTATATAGAGATAAAGTACATACCAATACTGTTGCAAAGGACAGTTTTTGATGAAGCTAGATTTAGGAAATTCCTCACCGTCAAACTAAAACATCCACGACAAATACACCCTGTATCCTCGCTACCAACCAAAACATCATCGTTTTTAAAACCATGACCGTTCCTGGCGTTGGCCGAAGAGCAAATCTGAACTCCACAAAGAAGGTCGGCCATTTTTCCATATATCATTCGTATTCTCAAATTATTCAAACCTGATTTACACACCATAGACTAAAGTTCGGTTTAACTGAGAATGTTCTGTTAGTGTGAATGAGTTATAAGATACTGAGGAACGAGTTACTTAATGCCCCTGTATATTTATTGATCGATTGATTACTCTAGAAGTTTAAAAAAAGTGGTGCTCACTGTGATATTCATTTTTACATAAACTCTGTATTGTACTAAATTTTCAGATGGAAATTAAGAAAGGTTAGGATTTTCTATAAAGTAATTTGGGTGTCATATCGAAATCATAAAAAGGCCTTTGACGGTCATCATAATGACCAGGCTTGGGTTATTAAGACACCGTATCAGTTTTACTATCATGACACACTCTTTTTAAAGATACACTGGGGGAAAGTAAATAGGACTTTTGCTGCTGTTATTCTTATGGAAAACGGTTAAATTTGTTAGCTTACATCTTTCTGAATCATATGAGGACGAGATCTACGCATGACTTGCACGTAATTCTGTATAAACACAGTTTTTATCTTCTCAGCACTCTCCAACATGGCGTCGATAGCAATGTATGTGCCAGTTCGACCAACACCAGCACTGTACAAAGGTAACAACAGATGTAAGTAACAACCAACAGAGAGAACAATAGAGGAAAAATAGCAAGA